ACATGCTCGTACATTACATGTACGGATGCCATTTGGCGTGCATCTTTTATGATGCAGATACATATAACCATGATCAACATCCAGCGCTTCATTGATCGAGTTGACCTCCAGAGTTGTTGGTGAGCATCCTTACCTCTGGAGGATCCCTCGTTTACTTTTAGTCATTTTATTTTGTTATTAGGATGTCGTGGGTCTTGTCCCGACGTCCATCTCAATCAGTAGAGGCTTCATAAATAGATAGATGTTAATTCATGAGTCTTGTTCATTCCAGTTGTTATGTTCTAAACTTGAGTTGCCCTTGATGCCAATTTGAATATTTATTTCTAAATATTCTGAGTTTGCTTTTGAGACATTAAGTAAAGTTATCTTTTGAGTTCTTTTAAATGTTGAGTAAAGTCTTCCGCTAAAAGTTAAGCCAGACCAAGGTTTCGCTTGGGGACAACAATGGTTCTCGAGTGTCGGTCACGTCCAAGGTGTAGGCTCAGGGCATGACATTTATGATCCTTAGGTTGGCAAGGCTTTTTTAGAATATAATATCTCCTAATATCGCCACGTATATTAGGATTATATTTTGCAATGGGCTTTCTAATCCCCGATCAACTTCAAGAGATTTTAAATTAACATTTGAAATAAATGTTTTCCTCTGAATTTTTGGAGCTATGGTTGAAGCGGTAGATGGATGAGTAGAGCTAGAACTTGGATGCCCAATTTTCGATCTTGTGACATACTTATCCATCTCAATTTACAAAGATAAATTCCTGCAAAACAAAATTCAGTTTTATCATATAATTAATTCATACAATTCAATTAATTTTTATTGAAATCTATAACTTTCTGTCAACAATCCAAACAACAATTAATATATCTATTTGATCTTTCAACACCACAAACAATAATATACCAATATATGAGTCAATGAGCACAAAATTTTCAATTGCACAATCTGTATACATCCTAAAATTTAATTTTTGATTTAAGTAACTTGGTAAGAAAAAAATTATTTCAAAAAATATATATTTTTAATCACATTGCACTAAATATGTGAGACTCTAAACCTATTTATCAATTAACAAAAAAAGTATGTGGAATCTATTTTAAGAATTAATTAAGAGTACTAGTCATAACTCATAAGCAATGAAAATTTCCAAACCTAATCCCCCAAACTCTTTTTTTCATTATCTATCTTAAATCAAACATCAAATCTTATTACCTTGCTTTTGTATATTGATTTTGAAAAGAAAAAATCTTGAAGTTTGTTGTTTGGCTTTCTACTTTCTCTTTGAAACAAGAAGAAGAAGGAGGGGGTTTGTGGTTTTGTTAAAGAAAAAATCGCAAAAGCACGATAGTGAAAAAGGTTTTAAAAAATAGAATAAGTTAGAAAATTAAATCACATAGGAAAAGTTAAAAATAAAAAAGAAAGAAAACCAGAGCACCCACGAGTGCTTTTGTCCAATGGGTGCTTATTTATATGTAATATCCGTATTTTTCATATTTTATATATATATACAAAAAATTTGTCGGAGTCAATGGGTGCTCGAGCACCCAAAACCATCTACGTGGATCTGCCCCTGGTGACAGATGTTAATCCACCTAAGCTAGAAGTTTAAGGTTGTTGCCTTGGCAAGCAATGACATTTCTTTTCGGTGTGGGAGCAAGACACCAAATTCCATGTTATAGCTCACATGTCTATGTTGGTTAATGGTAAATATCCCACAAAATGAACTAAGTTGCTTTCAAATATTTTATGAAGCTTATGATTTCAAGATGCATTGACCATATTTATGATTATGATTCTATATATTAAAAAAAATTACTATGTTAGCTTGGTCATACATATCATATCTTTCATTATGTCCCTTTATGATCATGTCTCATGTTTTATTGCATTTCCCTAATACTTAGTACATTTCATATACTAATACATATTTGTGCCTACATTGTTTCATTAATGTAGGGTTTGACGACTCTTCTCCCTCCGTTCGTGGTTATAGTGAGCACTTAGAGATTTTGAAGAGTTGGTGAGTCCTCATAATTCGAGGACAATGTCCCATTTATTTATTTTTCTTATGTTTTTAGTTTCATACATTGTATGTGGTGTACGGATTACATCCCAACCACTCTTTTGATGTAATAAATGGCTTGTCTAGACTTTGATGTACTTCAGCTTATGTCGAACTCTTTACTTCTTATGAGATTTCTTATTTTTCTCTATTATGTTGTGTTTATGTATGTCAAGTGGCTTGTGTAGGCCCTTTCGAGGTCTTATACACCATGTCACGTCTAGGGTGTCCTTTGGATTGTGACAACTTCAAAGTCAATGTCAACTCTCAATCAATTCAAAAGTCAATAGGTGAACAAGTAAAAATCCGAACCAATTATATGGATGCTAAATTTTAAATCTATGCTTAAATTTCCATTTTGAGCTCATTTAAGTGATTATATAATTAATTTAATGATTTTAGGATTTATGCTAAATTTCTCAATTTCATATCAAATTTGTAGATGAAAACGATATTTGAAGCCTCTCAAATCAAACTCCCCAAGTCTTTAAATACTCGAACGGACCTTAGCTATGTTGATGGCACTGAAACCATGTTGGCCACACTATCTGCACTCGGCTAGTGTTGATCACACTGTCGCCAGCACTCGGTCTGTGCTGGCTTATAGTGTTTCAAAAATTCTCAACTCGATTCAGTTATGCCGTGATTCATCTTAGTCCCTCATATTCAAACTCAAATTATACGAACAAGTCTCAAATCATACCAACAAGTGCATCAAATGATATGAATAAGTTTCAAAATATTTTTAAGCATAAACGTTTAAAAAGAAAGAAGAAGAATTGAATTGGTACAAAAAGAATGAGTCTAACCAAAATTAACATAAAAAATCACAAATAGACAATGGGACCATTGTTAATAGACGTTGGAAAAAGTCAATAACATATATTGTTCAAAATTTATATGAATGACCGGCCTGACGGATATTACTTAATCGTAGTTACCAACCAACCGTTTAACTTTTAGCATATGGCATCAATTACCAATTGGGACATATGAGCCTTAATTTGAACATGTCCAAAGAAAGCAGGTGAGATTTCATTAAATATATTATTGAAATACCCAGAAAATTTCACAATCGCTACTTTTTGAATACGCATTGGATAAATATGTGTTGTTAATTGTTTAAGTAGAAAGAAACAAATAAAGGGACAAATATAATTTATGAGATTTTGTAATTAGCCTAAGGTAACCTCTATAAAAGGACTTATTTAACCATATCATGTAGTATACGTATAATAATCAATTATTCTTTCTCTAATTTGTGTGTGTCCATTAAAACATTTGAGTGGAGATCGATGGAGAAGGCAAATAATAGGAGCCGTACAAGCTATCGAACGGCAGGGGTGCCAGTGTCCTCGCTTTTGACCGTCTTTGCACATTTGTTGTTCATAGCAATCACAACCTTACTCTTGGTTTGGCTGCTACACTTCAGAGAGGGACTTTCTTTCACTTCAACCAATAAGATGAAGCTTTTCAATGTAAGTGTCCGCTCATTTATTATTCTCTTTATTTCAATTTATTTACTATCACAAAATTCAAAAATTCTTTCTTTATTTCTTACACTTCATGCGTAGTCAAATTATGACTATTAAATTGGGGCGGAGGGAGTATATATATTGCATTCCTTAAATTTTTGGGATTATTCCCTTCAATTCTTTATTTCTTTTTATTATATGGAACGCAATTTTAAGTAAAAAGAAAAGGCTTTCATCACATAGTACAATGTACTCGTTGAACTTGTTATCTTACATATTCCATGAAATTTTTGTACCATAAAACTTAAAAGTGTCGACGTGCGTGGATAAAATAGAAATTTAAGAGTTAAAAAGCTTCTAAAATATAAAAAGAGTGATGACCAAGCTCACTATAAGACAATGAGAAATTAGTGACCGACAAATTTTTGTAGCTAAACAGTAAAAATCTCATACTAATCTCATTTAGCTATGGATTATAAAAAATTCAACAAGCTAGGAGCATTTTAGCGATGGATTAGATGGGAATTACCGACAAATTCCGTTGCTAATTTCATAAAGAGAAGTCTTCGTGGAGGAGCAATTTTCAAAGCTCTCCAAGACAACATAGTCATCATTGTGAAGAACGGTTAAAGAGCATATAACGCAAAGGCCTTTCATTCCCTTGTTTCGTCATGCCCCCGCTCAGGGGACTAGAAAACGTCTTCGTTTTCCAGTCGAAAGTGTGGTCACATATAAGATGAAATAGATTAAATATAGTTTCTAGTATTGTACTTATAATAATAGAATGTGGAAAGCTTTTTGAAACAGTTGGACGTGAATTTGTCAGCTGCTTTTGTTGAGTTTTAGTGCTCAACGAGTCTAAATGCAGGTTGAATTCATGTTCTCTAGTCTCTACCATAAAAAGAAGAATTAAGAGTTCAAGGAAATTAGAGACACTTGAATTGACAAGGATGAAATAACTTCTTATCTATTGAAGTTTTGTGTCGTTTTATTTTATTTTTTCAGGGCCACCTCTTTTGTGTAGCTAGCCAATTTTTATAAACAAAGATTTAGAGAAAGACGTACAATACTGAGTATAGTCCCACACAATAGTGGGGCAAAAATAAATAATAAACATTTGGATATATTTTTCTTGAGCTGAATACTATGAGAATTGTCAATAACCTGTTATATAAAATATTTTCAGCATTCAAATAACTAATTTACTCCGTCTGCATGCATGCGCGCAGCTTCATCCATTCTTTATGGTCATTGGATTTGTCCTAGTTTCCGGAGAAGGTATGTAGTTTTTATTTTGTTATACAAAATATAACTTCTTGTTACTCATGCATTATGTTTTCATGCACTCTAATTAATCCCTTACCCTTGTTAACTTCCAACAAAATTGGTTTTAAGATATAAAAATAAAATTTCAATAGGTTTAGACTAAATTATACTATATGAATGTGCTTTTATTACAGCTATAATGACATTTACCACTATCCCAGCAAGGAGGAGGACAAGAAAATACTTTCACATGTTTCTACATTTGATTGGTCTTGGTTCTAGCATTGTTGGCCTATTTGCTATTTTCAAATTTCAGCATGATACTGCAAAAGTTGACCTTCTTACCTTGCATTCCTGGATTGGCATTTCCACAGTTAGCTTCTATGCCTTGCTGGTAAGAAATGAGTCAAATATTAATATAATATCTAATAAATTAAATTTCATAATTTGAAATGGATAACTCAGGTGGTTTCTTTGGTGCACATATGAATTGTATATTGTGATTAATTATCAAAGGGATATGACTGAAATTTCATTTACATACCTTAACTAAACTAATTAAGGTCCTATTACCTCTCGAACTCATTTTTTTGTTGATGTAATTTTGTACATTTTTTGGGCTTACGGGGCATCCTAACATCTCTCACACACCTCAACTATGCGGAGTCACGGGCGTGCCACGTAGGCGAAAAGGTGTACAAAATTACAAAAAAATAAATGAGTTCGGAGTAATTTTAGTTAAAGTGCATGTGTCTATGAGATTTCAGTCATAGTCTATGGGGTTACTTGTGTCTTATCCCATTATCAAATACTTCTCTGTCCACTTTTAATTGTCATAGTTTCTTTTTTTAGAGTCAAACTATAAGAAATTTTACGATGCATTTTTTCAACGTGTTGATATGCAAAAAACTGCAACTTATAGTACTTTTTGTATAGTTTTTGAATATCTAATTTTTTTATTTAAAATATCGAATTAATGTAATCTAATTAATTTTGAAAATTAGTTAAATTGACTTTTGAAAAACGCAACATGACAATTAAAAGTGGACGGAGAGAGTAATAACTTAATTAACTCAACTCTAAGACAGACTTAATTAAACATGCATTAATTTCTAATGTTTTTACGCTTATTTCATCTTCATCTCATCATGCATGTGGTTAAGATAAGATCTATCAAAGATGACTTGATTTATAATGTATCATTAATATTCAATTAGAAAAAAAATAATGTCCTAACAAAAATCTTAATTTTTTTTTTACAGTACTTTGTTTCATTCTTGTTATTTTTCTTCCCTGGGGCACAAAATTGGAGAAGGGCAAGGTTGGCTCCATGGCATGTTCTCTATGGAATTACAATTTTTTTCATGGCAATAGTTAGCACAGAGACTGGTTTGATTGAGAAATTCATGGCTTTAGGACTTCAAAAGGGCCAAGAAGCACTCATAATCAATTTCACTGGCTTATTAGTTCTTCTATTTGGGATCTCTATTGGCCTGGCTGTTCTTCTCCCAGTTTCATATTACTAGTTTGATCCTCTTGTTATTATTGTAATATAATTTTGAAATAAGGTAGGTATTTTTAGAGAATAGTTTGTCAAGTTACTGAAATTGTATGAATCATCATGTTAACAATGCAGAGAAATTTAGAGAGAAGATATTTTCTTTACTTGTAACAGAATACAACTATATCTATATGCTTAATTAGTCCTTTCATGAAGCACATGATTAACAACTATTTGTAGAGCTGATTTGCTGTCAGAAAATATGGAAATATGAACTTTAAGCTCCTTGAACAACCCTGTCATCCATATCACTTCTGCAACTGAAGATGCCATAGCCCTCTGCTCTGCCTCTGCTGAACTCCTAGAAATTGTGGCTTGTTTCTTTTACTTTCATTCTTGAATTCTTGGGGTTTTAATTACACATTGATCTTTGATTTTTGACTTTGCAATTTAATTCAAGATTTTGAATTTTCAACATTCATATTGTAAGTTAATGATTTCTTTGAACCAAATTATTATAAATTGTGATCAAACAATTATGAGTAGCTAAATCCACAACTAGAGTTATGGGAACCAAGATGAATTACCGATGTAAATCTAATAAATAGTAATTCTTGAATGGTGTACATGTATGTATTATTTTTCTCTTCACTTTGATTGATTTATAATGGAGGCCTACGTTAGAACTCGCTTTATTCCTACTTATCTGACCAAGGGATTAACGAATGAAAAAAAGGATTACACAATGAAGATTTGAGGCTATCAACCCTCATCTAAATGCTTGAACTTACCCAGGGATAACTAATTTGGGATCAACGATAAGGATTAGTAAAGCATACACCCGTAGTCCGTAGAGTGACCAAGTTGTGTGGTAAAATTCATCTACTTAGGCATCCATCCACTTAGAAGATAAATAACTTACTGATCTTGCATGCTACACACTAGACAAGGTTTTGACTATAAGGTTCTATTGTGCTAAGGATTCACGGGGAACACTAACACCCTAGTTTCGTCTTATATTGAGTTAAAACAAGTTAAATTGTTACTTGCTATTATTCCCATCAATTACTTTCTACACAACCC